GTTCAACATGGTGAAACCCCATCTCTACTAAGAAAACACAAAAATTAGCCGGGCTTGGTGGCATATGCCTGTAATCTCAGCTACTCAGGAGGCTGAGGCAGGAGAATCATTTGAACCTGGGAGGCGGAGGTTGTGGTGAGGTGAGATCATGCCATTGCACTCCAGCCTGGATGACAAAAGAGAGACTGTCTCAAAAAAAAAAAAAAAAAAAAAAGAATGTATTAGGCTGGGCACTGTGGCTTATGCCTGAAATCCCAGGACTTTGGGAGGCCAAGGCAGGCAGATCACTTGAGGTCAGGAGTTTGAGACCAGTCTGGCCAATATGGTGAAAATCTCTCTCTACTGCAAATAAAAAAATTAGCCTGGCATGGTGGCAGATGCCTATAATTCCAGCTATTTGGGAGGCTGAAGCAGGAGAATCGCTTGAACCTGGGAGGCAGAGGTTGCAGTGAACCAAGATCGTGCCACTGCACTCCAGCTTGGATGACACCCTGTCTCCAGAAAAAAAAAGAATTCATTATTTCAGGCTGGGTGCAGTGGCTCATGCCCGTAATCCCAGCACTTTGGGAGGCTGACACAAGTGGATCACCTGAGGTCAGGAGTCTGTGACCAGCCTAGCCAACATGGTGAAACTCCACCTCTACAACACATACAAAAATCAGCTCAGTGTGGTGGTGGGCACCCGTAGTCTCAGCTACTTGGGTGACTAAGGCAGGAGACTCGCCTGAACCCGGGAGGTGGAGGCTGCAGTGAACCAAGACTGCACCATTGCACTTCAGTGTGGGCGACGGAACAAGGCTCCATCTCAAAAAAAAAAAAAAAAAAGTACTATCTCTTCATACCTACCCATTTTGGGCATTTTTGCCTCATTTTATAGAAAGTTTCTTCAATGTGTCAGCCTTCATTTTGAGAGAATTAAGAATTCAGGTCATCTTTTACTTTCTTTATTTTGTGACATGGGCTTGCTCCAGGCTCAAGCGATACTCCCGCCTCAGTCTCCGAGTAGCTGGGACTTCAGGCATGCACCAGCACACCTGGCTAATGAAAAACTTTTTCTTTCAAAGACAGCATCTTGTTGTGTTGCCCAGGATGGTCCACATCTTTTTCTCCAATGTCTTTCTTCTATTCTAGAATTTGAATCACATAAAGATTCTGTTTTCCAAAGGTTGTACTTACCTTTATTTCATTTTATTTTTGAGATAGGGTCTTGCTCTCGTGCCCAGGCTGGAGGGCAGTGTCATGGTCTAGCTTACTGCAGCCTTCCCAGGATGTAGTGATCCTCATGCCTCAGCGTCCCGAGGCGCTGGGACTACAGGTATATACCACTACGCCTGGCTAATTTTTAAATATTTTGTAGAGACAAGGTCTAACTATGTTACCCAACCTGGTTTTAAACTCCTGAGCTCAAGCAATCCTCCCTCCTCAATCTCCCAAAGCGCTAGGATTACAGGCTTCTCAGTCACACTACCACATTTTTCTTTTCTTTTTCTTTTTCTTTGAGACAAAATCTGGCTCTGTCACCCAGGCTGGAGTGCGGTGGTATAGTCAGGGCTTACTGTAGCCTAAGACCTTGGGCTCCAGCGATTCTCCCACTTCAGCCCCCTGAGTAGCTGGGACTCACCACACCGTTAATTAAGGGAATTTTTTTGGAGAGATGAGATCTTACTGCGTTTCCCAGGCTGGTCTCAAACTCTCAGCCTCAAGCAATCCTCCTACCTTGGACTTCCAAAGTGTTGTGATTAGAGGTGTGAGCCACCATGCACAGCCTACCATCATTTTCATTTTGCCTAAATAATCTTTTTTTGGTTATTTAGGGAAATAAATAACCTAATAACCTTTTTGGGGGAGGGACAAGGTCTTACTCTGTTGCTCAGGCTGGGGTGCAGTGGCATGATGATGGCTCACTGTAGCCTTGAACTTTCAGGCTCAAGTAATGGATCCTCCCACCTCAACCTCCCAAGTAGCTGGGACCACAGGTACGAACCACCACACTGAGCTAATTTTTGTATTTTTGTAGAGAGGGTTTTGCCATATTTCCCAGGGTGGTCTCAAACTCCCGGACTCAAGTAATTCTCCCGCCTTGGCCTCTCAAAGTGCTAGGATTACAGGTGTGAGCCAATGTACCTGGCTTGTAATTATTATTATTATTTTTTGAGATGGAGTTTTGCTCTTGTTACCCAGGCTGGAGTGCAATGGCGCGGTCTCGGCTCACTGCAACCTCCGCCTCCTGGGTTCAGGCAATTCTCCTGCCTCAGCCTCCCAAGTAGCTGGGATTACAGGCATGTGCCACCATGCCCAGCTAATTTTTTGTATTTTTAGTAGAGACGGGGTTTCATCATGTTGACCAGGATGGTCTCGATCTCTTGACCTCGGCATCCACCAGCCTCGGCCTCCCAAAGTACTGGGATTACAGACTTGAGCCACCGCGCCCGGCCGTAATTATTTTTTAAATGCACCATTGTGTGACATTCATGAATATTTGTATTCTTGCCTCTGTTTCCAACAAACATAGCTACTCAAAAAACACTACACATTTTATATATTTTTAGCATGGGTTTCTAATCACAATGAATACAATTTCTATTCTTATGTTTAGTTGGCTGAATTAACACTTATCCGTGACTTATAACTGCCAAATTGCTAATAATCTTGCTAGAGATTTTTATTAAATAATACCCCTGTGGCCTATTAGGTTCAACGAAATAGAAAATGTCATTTCTAAAAATGTCTAATTTCCAGGTAAAGTATTATATAAAGGAAAACATTGTCTCAACGTGTGATTTCTAAATTTAATTACACTATCAATAGTCTATTGGAAAACTTTTGGTTATTTCTTTGTAAAGGCAAAGCATTTCTACTTAAAATAGCAATACTAAAATTGAGAGGTGGGCCGGGCTCAGTGGCTCAAGCCTGTAATCCCAGCACTTTGGGAGGCTGAGCCAGGTGGATCACGAGGTCAAGAGATCGAGACCATCCTGGTCAACATGGTGAAACCCCGTCTCTACTAAAAATACAAAAAAATTAGCTGGGTATGGTGGCACATGCCTGTAATCTCAGCTACAGGCTGAGGCAGGAGAATTGCCTGAACCCAGGAGGCGGAGGTTGCGGTGAGCCGAGATCGCGCCATTGCACTCCAGCCTGGGTAACAAGAGCAAAACTCCTTCTCCAAAAAGAAAAAAAAAAATGAAAAACATTGAGAGGTTGGTGGGTATCACTGAGGCAGAAAGATAAGAGAGGAATGGCAGAGATGGCAGGTCAAATTTAGTAGGTTAATTTTTTAACACCACAGGTTAGAGTGCAACATTAGATAATATAAGGCATCTCATTTCAGAAATCGACACAAGATATATTTAAATAATTTATAATTTAATGAAATGTGAATCTGGAAACCTAATATCCTTAGCAAATGACCTAGGAACTCTCTCGGTTTGTATTTTCTCTTTTCACTCTAATACTGGCTTCTAGTTTGCATATATTCTTATTTTACCAGCCTTAAACTTTGTTCTGTTCAGTGGATCTCATCCTACAGTCCCAGGAAATTTTACCCCTTTCTCTACCCAACTTATCTTAAGCCTGTGGTTTTCGTTTGTTTGTCGTCATTGTTTTGAGACGGAGCCTCTCTCTGTTGCCAAGGCTGAAGTGCAGTGGGCGACCTTGGCTCACTGTAACCTCTACCTCCACCTCCCAGGTTCAAGTAATTCTCCTGCCTCAGCTTCTGAAGTAGCTGGGATTACAGGCACACAGTACCACACCCGTCTAACTTTTGTATTTTTAGTAGAGATGGGGTTTCACCATGTTGGCTAGACTGGTTTCCAACTCCTGACCTCAGGTGATCCTCCCACCTCCACCTCCCAAAGTGTTGGGATTACAGGACCACCACACCTGGTCTAAACCTGTTTTTCTCAATTGGCTCTTTCCTTTTAAGGTGTGTGTGTGTGTGTGTGTTTGTGTGTGTGTGTGTGTATACATATGTATATTTCCTTGTAAGATATGAGTGTGTGTATATATGTATATATATGTATATGTATATATATGTGTATATACGTGTACACATACATACATATATACACATACATATCTTAAAAAGAAATATACATATATATACATATACACACACATATATGTATATATGTGTATGTGTGTATAGTCAAATAAAAAAATGTTTGCCCATCTAATTCTCAATAAGCAACATTTAAATAAAAACATAATCACTTTCATGATTTATTTACTTAAAATATTGTGATATGTATCATGAATACAGAAAAATATATAGTATTAACATGGACAATTAAAAAAATAACATACATATGTATGTACCCATCATTCAGATTAAGAAATAGTATATTGCTCCAGGCATGGTGGCTCACACCTGTAATCCCAGCACTTTAGGAGGCCAAGGTGGGTGGATCACCTGAGGTCAGGAGTTCAAGACCAGCCTGGACAACACAGTTAAATCCCATCTCTACTAAAAATACAAAAATTAGCCAATTGCGGTGGATTACACCACAATTGGTTAATTACAGGGATTATATGCCTGTAATCGCAGCTACTCAGAAGGCTGGGGCCAGGCACCGTGGCTCACGCCTGTAATCCCAGCACTTTGGGAGGCCGAGGCGGGTGGATCACGAGGTCAAGAGATCGAGACCATCCTGGTCAACATGGTGAAACCCCGTCTCTACTAAAAATACAAAAAATTAGCTGGGCATCGTGGCACGTGCCTGTAATCCCAGCTACTCAGATGGCTGAGGCAGGAGAATTGCCTGAACTCAGGAGGCGGAGGTTGCGGTGAGCCGAGATCGCGCCATTGCACTCCAGCCTGGGTAACAAGAGCGAAACTACGTCTCAAAAAAAATTAAAAAAAAAAAAAAAAGCAGGCTGAGGCAGGAGAATCACTTATACCTGGGAGGCAAAGATTGCAGTGAGCCGAGATCACGCTGCGCCATTGCATTGCAGCCAGGGCAACAGAGCAAGATTTCATCTAAAAAAAAAAAAAGGAAGAGCTCCGTGCCAACCTCCCTCCTCATGCGGTGGAGGCTGCCGGGGTCCTAGCCGGTTTCGGCGGGAGCGGCGGCCGCAACATGGCAGAGACCGCAGCCGGAGTGGGCCGCTTCAAGGCCAACTATGTTGTGGAGTGCAAAATCGAACCTTTCTACAAGGGTGGAAAAGCACAGCTGGACCAGACTGGCCAGCACCTCTTCTGTGTCTGTGGCACCAGAGTCAACATTCTGGAGGTGGCCTCCGGGGCCGTGCTGCAGAGTCTGGAGCAGGAAGACCAGGAGGATATCACTGCCTTCGATCTCAGTCCTGACGATGAGGTGCTGGTGACAGCCAGCCGGGCATTGCTGCTGGCTCAGTGGGCCTGGCGAGAGGGCAGCTTTACCCGCCTTTGGAAGGCGATACACACAGCCCCTGTGGCCCCCATGACCTTCGACCCCACCGCCACGCTGCTAGCCATGGGTGGCTGTGACGGGGCTGTGCGCGTCTGGGACACTGTGCGGCACTATGGGACACACCATTTACGAGGCTCGTCCAGTGTTGTGCACCTGGTGGCCTTCCACCCAGACCCCACACGCCTGCTGCTCTCCTCGGCCGCAGAAGCACTGCAGGATCCGTCGTGCCTGGCTGTGCTGACTGCCCACTACAGCACTGTCACCTCACTGGCTTTCAGTGCCGACGGCCACACTATGCTCAGCTCCGGCTGTGACAAGATCTGTATCATCTGGGACCTTCAGAGCCACCAGGCCACGAGGACTGTGCTGGTGTTTGAGAACGTGGAGACCGCTGTGCTGTTGCCAGAGGAGCTGGCATCTGAGCTGGGTATGAAGTCCCCAGGCCTGCACTTCCTGACAGCTGGCGACCAAGGCACTCTGCGCGTGTGGGAGGCAGCTTCTGGGCAGTGTGTGTACACGCAGGCCCGGCCGCCGGGCCCTGGGCGGGAGCTGACCCACTGCACCCTGGCCCGCACCGCCGGCCTGCTCCTCAGCGCCACTGCCGACCATGACCTGCTGCTCTACGAGGCTCACTCCCCGCGGCTGCAGAAACAGTGCACTGGCTATAGTGAGGAGGTCCTGGATGCCCGGTTTCTTGGGTCTCAGGACTCCCACATCAGCGTGGCCTCCAATAGCCCCTGCCTGACAGTGTTTGAGCTACAGACATCAGCCTGCCAGATCCTCCATGGCCACAGGGATATCGTTCTGGCTCTGGACGTGTTCCGGAAGGGGTGGCTCTTTGCCAGCTGTGCCAAGGATCAGAGTGTCCGAATCTGGAGGATGAACAAGGCTGGCCAGGTGGTCTGCATGACTCAGGGTTCCGGCCATATGCACAGTGTCGGCACCATCTGCTGCTCTAGGCTGAAGGAGCCCTTCCTGGTGACGGGCAGCCAGGACTGCACTGTGAAGCTGTGGCCTCCTCCCAAAGCCCTGCTGTCTAAGAACACAGCCCCAGACAGTGGCCCTGTCCTCCTGCAGGCCCAGAACACTCAGCGTTGCCACGATAAGGATAACAACAGCGTGGCCACTGCCCCCAACGACAAGCTGTTGGCCACGGGCTCATAGGAACGCATGGCCAAGCTCTGGGCCCTGTCACAGTGCCAGCTGCTGGGTGTCTTCTCAGGCCACCGGCACGGCCTCTGGTGTGTCCAGTTCTCTCCCACGGACCAGGTGCCGGCCACAGCCTCAGCTGACGGCACCATCAAGCTCTGGGCGCTCTAGGACTTCAGCTGTCTCAAGACATTTGAGGGACACGATGCTTCCATGCTGAAGGTGGCCTTTGTGAGCTGGGGCACACAGCTGCTGTCCAGCGGCTCAGATGGCCTTGTGAAGCTCTGGACCATCAAGAACAACGAGTGTGTGCAGACGCTGGATGCCCACGATGACAAGGCCTGGGGGCCGCACCACAGCCAGCTGGATGACCGCACCCTCACTGGCGCCAGCGACTCCCAAGTCATCCTCTGGAAGGATGTGACCAAGGAGGAGCAGGCCGAGGAGCAGGCGGAGAAGCAGGCCAGGCAGGAGGAGCAGGCCAGGCAGGAGGAGCAGGCGGAGAAGCAGGCCAGGCAGGAGAAGCAGGCCAGGCAGGAGGAGCAGGCGGAGAAGCAGGCCAGGCAGGAGAAGCAGGCCAGGCAGGAGGAGCAGGCCAGGCAGGAGGAGCAGGCGGAGAAGCAGGCCAGGCAGGAGGAGCAGGCGGAGAAGCAGGCCAGGCAGGAGGAGCAGGCGGAGAAGCAGGCCAGGCAGGAGGAGCAGGCGGAGAAGCAGGCCAGGCAGGAGGAGCAGGCCGAGGAGCAGGCCAGGCAGGAGGAGCAGGCGGAGAAGCAGGCCAGGCAGGAGGAGCAGGCCGAGGAGCAGGCCAGGCAGGAGGAGCAGGCCGAGGAGCAGGCCAGGCAGGAGGAGCAGGCCGAGGAGCAGGCCAGGCAGGAGGAGCAGGCAGTCAGCCAACAAGAGCTGGACAACCTGCTGCATGAGAAGCGGTACCTGCGGGCGCTGGGCCTGGCCATCTCCCCGGATCAGCCCCACACTGTGCTGACCGTCATCCAGGCCATTCGGAGGGACCCTGAGGCCTGTGAGAAGCTGGAAGCCACCGTGCTCCGACCGAGGCGAGACCAGAAAGAGGCCCTGCTGTGCTTCTGCGTCACGTGGAACACCAACTCGCGCAACTGCCACGAGGCCCAGGCCATGCTGGGTGTGCTCCTGCGGCACGAGGCCCCCGAGGAGCTGCTGGCCTATGAAGGCGTGTGTGCAGCACTTGAGGCCCTGCTGCCCTACACTGAGCGGCACTTTCAGCGGCTCAGCCGGACACTCCAGGCCGCCACCTTGTTGGACTCCTAGCCAGCTGCTTCTCTCTCCAGTCCATCGGAACCCCCTGGGGAACCCATAAAGGCGCACTCACCTAAAAGAAAGAAAGAAAGAGAGAGAGAGAGAGAAAGAAAGAAATAGAATATTGGAGTAACATATTGGATTGGAGAAACCCTCCCCAGTCGCATCTCTCTTCCTCCCCAAAGATAAACATTACTCTGATCTTTGTGTTAATCAGTGCCTTGTTTTAATGTATAGACTTGTCACCCATGTATGTATCCCTAAATAATATATTCCTTAGTTTGAAAAAAGAGGAAAGAAGAGTGGCAAGCACCTATGTTCCTGTGTGAGCAAAGGGCGATTGGTGTCACTATCAGATAAAGCCTTTCAGGAGAAAAGAGACTGATCATAATCTGGCTTTAGGTTCCGGGAGAGTGAATAAACAGTCTTTTTTAGGGAAGTCGGTGGGCAGGAGCCGTCGGGAGTCCTGGAGAGCCTAGAACTCACCAGACATTGAGCACCCGGACCAGATACTGGATTTTTGGTAAAAATATGGTCAGAGAGATTGGACTGCCCCGTGTTTTCTGCTTCTAAACCCATCATAGCTGCCTCCCGTTCTCAGGAGTAAGTCAAACCAGAAACCTGTGGGGTGAATCAGCAAACGTTGAGGGAGAACAGGAACTTCACAAGCAAAGTACGGAAAAGAGTCTGAACATGGCTCATGGGAAATTCTGTCTTCAGCTCAAAAGAAGATAAATGACAGCAGGGATCTTGGCGATGACGGCACTCACTCAGTTTGTTTCTTGAGTCTCACGGCTCCAATCTGGACTGCTTGCCTTCTGTGTCTAGTCTGCAACTGTCAGTCTGGAATCTACTACTTGGGAATGGCCACCTCTACCCTGGTGCTTCTTTTTCATCACCCACATTTTGTCTTTGCTGGTTTCTCGATGAGCAGTTTCTCCGGTAGCTTATTTCTTAAGTAAAGTGGGTGGCAATATTTTTTGAGAGATGTACATCTGAAAATTATAATTGCCTAGCAGTATGGAGACAAGGAGATGGCCTAGGGATATAACTGCTTTTCAAACAGTTTTGACCTGGCCAGCGTGGTGACTCACACCTGCAATTCCAGCACTTTGGGAGGCTGAAGTGGGCTGACCACCTGAGGTCAAGAGTTTGAGACCAGCCTGGCCATTTGTATCTTTCCGTCTCATCACTTCTATCACCAGCAGTCCTTCAACCTCAACTAGATTTACAAACATTTAATCCTAACACTATTCACTGGCCTTCACACTCTTAGGACCTTGTTTTGCTCTTCACGTTGCTTGGAGTCCAGGGGCAATCATTATTGCCAAACCCTTGCATCCATGTTTATCTCCCTTGCTTCTCTTGTGACTTAGTATACTTGCCTGGTAAAATCAACCTTAGGCTGGGTGCAGGGGCTCACATCTGTAACCCCAGCACTCGGGAGGGCCAAAGCGGGAGGATCAGTTGAGGCCAGGAATTAAGACCAGTCTGTGTAACATAGGGAGACCCAGTCTCTACAAAACACAAACAAAATCCCCCCAAACCCAAAAAAACTAGCTGAGTGGTGGCACGGGCCTGTGGCCCCAGGTACTTGGGAGGCTGAGGTGGATCACTGGAGTCCAGAAGGTTAAGACCTCAGTGAGCAGTCATCTTGCTGCTGCACTCCAACTTAGAGAGTAACCCTTTCTCAAGAAACCCTCCAAAACTCCTAATTAAATCCAGCTGTGTCCATTCTGTGTTTGCATTTGTGCAACTAAACACACAATTGTGTGGGCCAGCTTCACTTTATTTTTTGAGTTATAATGGATTTTATTTATTTGAAATAAGGAAAGTTACGAGAATAGTACAAAGGTTTCCCATAAAACCTTTACTCAATTATTAACATTTTCGTGTTTGCTTTACTTATTATTCTCTCTCTTGGCACATCACGTTTTTTCTGAAGCATTTCGCAGGGATCCAGCCCTCCATCACCCAAGGGTGTTCCGTGTTCGGTGGTGACAAAGGAATGAGGAAAAGGCAGATTAAGAGTGCAAAGAGTGGGACTGGCGGCCACCACTTATTACAGGAGGAGACAGTGAAGGCCCTGAGCTCTGATTATCCACACTGCTTACTGATTACAATCACGCTGATCTACAGGGTTGGGGTGGAGTGATGGAGTGAATCAGTGAGCTGGAACTGGTGTGTCATTCTAGGGACTGATAACAGTGGCAGTTTGGGAATTTCACAAAACAAGAACGTGTGATTATCTTTAGCTTATTGTCTGTGTGCAGCTGGTGGAATACCGACCTTGCAAGGAGCCTGCAAGCCTGGCTACGTCATAGTGCTACGAAGGGGTTTTACGTCCTTGAGCACAATGTTTATGGTGACAGAACCGACGTCACCCTGCACCAGATCATGAGGCATGGAGACGCCTTCCTCCTGCGCCCTCCTGCGGCTTGTTCCTTGTTTATGTGTCACTCAGAACCAGTTTATGTAGGCATCTGTCAGTCCTTTCTCCTCTGCTGCTTTTCCCAACACGTGTGAGTGAGCTGGATCAAATATATCAGTGTATAAAGTCCTATGTCACTTACCAACTGGGATACGTTTTGAGAAATGAGTCATTAGGCAATTTTACTGTTGCGCCAACATCATAGAATGTACTTACGGAAACCTAGATGGTAGATCCTACTGAAGTGTTGTTGTCTGGGGTAATACCCGAGGCTCATTGTCCCGGGGCCGTGGAAAACTAGGACGTGGACAAACCAGTGTGAGGTTCAGAGCAGAAGTTTAATAGGCTAAAGAAAGAGAAAAGATGTCTCTGCTACAGAAAGAGGGGTGCCCGAGAATATGCGTTGCTGCTTCCACGGTGAAATGCAGAAAGTTGTACAGATGAGCTTGAGGAGGTGGTATCTGATTCACATAGGGCACAAGAGACTGGTCGGGCCAGGTGTCCATTTGCATAGCATGTGAGGAACTGTTTAGGACTAGGTGTGCTGTTTGCACAGCTTACGAAGAAGCTGGCTGCCCCACCCGTATCTTTGATTATGCAGATGGTTCTCTGCCTGGCCAGGCACCACGTTGCCTGCCTCTTTACACGTGATGACAAAGAAAAGGGAAAATGGAGCCTCTGTGTTGAACATGCCTGGCTTCCACGTAGCCCTTTTCTATTGGCACAGTGGCTGGCATTCACTTGTGCAAGCTCTTCTGCTTGTTTATCTTGGCAGCTTGATTTTTCAGGCTGTTCTTTGTTAGAAAAGAAAAGATTTGGGGGCTGCTTTTTGTTAAAAGGGAAATTCTGCCGAGGACTCTTTTACCCTTACTATCTGCCTAAATTCTGTCTCCTGTATTACCACTACACACCTAGGCTATATGGAATAGTCGTCTATTCCTCCTGAGCTATAAACCTGGATAGCGCGTTAGCATGCTGAATACCGAAGACAATTGTAACACAACGAGAAGGATTTCTGTACCCAAACATACGAAAGGTACAGTAAAAACACTGTATTATAATCTTATGGGACCACTGTTTTCTTGTGGTTCACTGTTGAATGCAGTGACTGACACATTGTTATGTAGTGCATGACTGCACTTTCTAAAACAAAAACATCCCCATACTTAACCATAGTATAATTATGAAAAAAAAAAAAAAAAAAACCACAGAAAATTGGCTGGGCGCAGTGGCTCATGCCTGTAATCCAAGCACTTTGGGAGGCCAAGGTACGTGGATCACCTGAGGTTAGCAGTTGCAGACCAGCCTGACCAGTAGAAATCCCATCTTGATTAAAATATAAAAATTAGCCAGGCGTGGTTGCGTGCACCTGGGACTACTTGAGCGTCCGAGACAGGAGAAGTCCTTGAAACCAAGAGGCGGAGGTTGCAGTGAGCTGAGATCATGCCACAGACTGAGGAGCAGAAGGAAAACAAAGTGAAGGAAAATGAACAGAATCCACAGGACCTGTAAGACACTACCAAGTTGACCAACATATACAAAATGGGAATTCCAGAAGGAGAGAAGAAAGAAAGGATATGTGAAGAAATAATGGCCTGAAAAAAATGAGGAAACTCTTTACACATTGATATATAAAGATCTACAAGAAATTTTGTCAAAGGAAGTAAGGTGCAAGACTTACATAGGGCCAAAGACGCATGCTCTGAATCTAACTGTGAGGAACCAGACAAAGTGAAAATGAGGGATATCACCTGAACTCTTCAAAAATGTCAAGCTCATAAAAGGCAAAGAAAGACTGAAGTACTGGCCGGGCACAGCCATTGCACTCCAGCCTGGGCAACAGAGCAAGACTCTGTCTCAAAAACCAAAAGCAGGAAATTAACACTGAGTCAATACTATCATCGAACCTACACTTTATTCAGAGTTTTCCAGTTGTCCCAGTAATGTTCTTTATAATAAAAACAACAACAACAAAAAAGTTTCTGAGTCTGGGCATGGTGGCTCATGCCTGTAATCCCAGCAATTTGGGAGGCCAAGGTGGACGGATCACAAGGTCAGGAGTTCGAGCCCAGCCTGGCCAACATGGTAAAACCCTGTCTTTATGGAAAATACAAAAAATTAGTCTGTTGTGATGACCTGCACCTCTAATCCCAGCTTCTTGGGAGGCTGAGGCAGGAGAATTGATTGAACCCGGGAGGTGGAGGTTGCACTGAGCCGAGATAGCCCTACTGAGACTCCATCTCAAAGAAAAAAGAGTTTCTGATTCAGGATCCAAGACAAAATCACACATTGTATTTAGCTGTTACAGGTCTTTAGTGTTCTTTAGCATGAAACAATACTTCAGTCATTCTTTCTTTCTTTTTTCTCGAGACAGTGTCTTGCTCTGTTGCCCAGGCTGGAGTGCAATGGCTGTGCCCGGCCAGTACTTCAGTCTTTCTTTGCCTTTTATGAGCTTGACATTTTTGAAGAGTTCAGGTGATATCCCTCATTTTCACTTTGTCTTGTTCCTCACAGTTAGATTCAGAGCATGCGTCTTTGGCCCTATGTAAGTCTTGCACCTTACTTCCTTTGACAAAATTTCTTGTAGATCTTTATATATCAATGTGTAAAGAGTTTCCTCATTTTTTTAAGGCCATTATTTCTTCACA